ATTCTCATTCCACCAAGCTACACCCGCCAACCGTATCACAGAGCAGAAGGAAGCTTGCATCTACTACTAGCTCACCTAGCACCACTGAGCTAGCTACTGTTACAGTTCAGCCGAGGAGGACGACATTCATGGTTACATCTCACACTGTCACAATCACCAGCCTCTCGACCATGAGTAGATGCACTCTTCCTTCTGCACAGTGATACAGTTGACGGGTGTAGTTCGGTAGAGAGAAAATAGTTCCTACATGAAACTGCTCACAACAAGTAACTGGATCATGATTCCTGGAAAAAGACATTGCTGTTGAGTTTTTCTTATGTATCTTTGATGTTTTGAGCACCACAAGCTGAGTGCCATCTAGTTCCATTATACTGGAGAGAAGACAGACATATCTACGGCTGATATCTCCAACACCTGACAACTCACACCAAAAGAATCTAGACTGATGACTAAAATAACTGTATCATCCACTGTACCATCTTGCAAGCTCTTTAGATTCCTCTCTCCTCTACCTTTACATCTGACATCATTAACTTCTGACTCTTGTAAATATGAATACAAATAAGCTGTAGTGAACAGCACATGTGCGACTAAAAACTGCTGACCACTTGGGTTTCAGGCTATCTAACCTCCCTATTCTTCTACAACACTCGACTCAGCACAACATAATAGCATCCAAACATAGCTGCTGGACATGGTTAACATCATTGACAGCAGAGCAGTTTGTACTGGTGAGCGTCCATTAATTCCCTGACCTTTATGTAGAGTGTTTCCCTGCGAGCCAAGAAATGTTATTTACACCTGCTTGAATGAATGGACAGTGTATTAAGAGTAGCTCCCTTTTCATGATGGAAATTTCATTACTGTAGATTCTATTTCCATCATCAATTATTAAAACATAGTTGCTTAATCAAGTGATCCTCTGGACACTCTTACAATGATGACTCGCAGGTCAAACAGAGTTCTGGTGAAAGATGCCTCAAAGATACTGCACAGTACTGATGTATGAATTTATGTAGCAATTTAAGTCATGTGCTGTATATTTTTTAATCTTAGTCCAAAAAGAGAGGTTCGATCGATGTATTGAGGCCTCGCATTAATCTGCGTGAGCTGAGCTGCTTTAGGGAGAAACATGAGTATTATTGTTGAGCGCTGATTTTTGTTTTTGTATCTCTCCCAATGTACAATACACAGCTGGAGCTTTTAAACAGTACAGCGCCAGTATACTGCCTGGTAGTACATCTTGCATAATGAAATCTGACATGTTTCTTGTTTAGGGCTATTCTGCTTAAGCCAATACGCAACGTTACTGGGGCATAGCCAATCGGGACTGGGGCATGTAGGGAGAGGCCATGCAAGCTAACCCTTTGTTTAGAGTCCTTGGGCCTTGTGGCAACATCTCGCCTCAGTGAGAGCGCTACGAGCTACACAGCCTGGCCTAATTTCATCTTCAATCAGTGTCTCCAGAGCCGTCAGGGATAACTAGCAGCTCCTGCTCGAGCTGCATTTCAATTGTGTTTACATTTATCAATTCGTGATATTTGGCTGATGCTGTTTAATTTGGCGCAAATGTTGGCCAACTGAATTCAATGTATGGTAAAATATTTAAGTTAAGAAAAACACAGATGGTGATGAGATGGAGAGGGAAATTAGATTACCTCCTCCACTACAGGCACCCCATGAGATAAAAATAGCCTGTGGATGAACATTCCTGTTCAATTCAAAGTTAGACGTGTATTGTTATGGTGTTCAAAGCTCCATCTGCTCCTCCTCGCTACCAGTGAAATTGTTTCTCACCTTAGTTAAGGGCAGCAATGGGAGAAAACGTTCCATTAAATAAATATCTAATTTCTCTATAATGAAGCTCATATTCATGTTGTAAGTGAGCTGCAGATATAACATGTTACTTCCACTTTCCATTGCACAAAGATGGAAAGCCCCACCGGTCTGTTTTTAATTGGTTACATCTACCAGGACAAGCCGATTTCCATCTAACACATGAAACCTGATGAGGAAAGCTCTGTATGTGTTTCACCTCATACTGCGAGACACCAAAGAGGGCTGAGCACGATGAAAAATGGATGTGCTCTTTTGGAGCGTGGTCATCCAAGTGTCCTGCAGCACACCTTGTGCACTGTAGACACCCCTGCCACTAAACCCTCAGCAGGGGTACGCGGCCCTTCAGTCCCCTCGGCGGGGAGTCACCTATGAAACCCTGCACCCACGCATACCACATGTCCCAGATCATTCAGCACGGTTAGCTAAGCTGCCACTGTTATGTAGCCATTATCCATTTAACTTCTCCCTGCACGGTGTCAGCTTCCTTTTGTTAAGACTCATTCAGGTACAAAGTATTATTACACCCCGTGGAATAGGATAGCTCTACAAAGCCATCAAGGGAAAGTATTTATCTCATTGATTATGTATCATCGCTGGAGGAAGGCTGTGCCTGTGGTATCTTCTCTCACAACCTGTCTCGGTTGTTCTCGTAGAGGAGGGGAGCACAAAAAGTAAACGAAAGTGCCCCTTGTGCTAAAGGCCTTTGCTGCGATCCCACGGTCCCCATTGTTCCACTACTTTTAATTTCTAAGCATACGCATAAGCAGCTTAACTTTCTGCCTTTTTGGTGAAAAAAAAAAAGCCAATGCTGTGTTGCTCCTGATGTCACACAGCCTCCTCAAATCCTGACCTTTTGTATTTTTATTTTTTAAGATTTCCCACTGCAGCTACTGATGGAGGATGAAAAACAAACTTCACTATGTGACATTGCAATTCCTCCAAACAGCAGCATTTAAGTCACACCTATAGATCAGAATCCAAGCAATATTTACAGTGTGAAAAAACAGGGAGGAATAGCAAAGGAATACTGGTAACTTATCTGAGCTGGTTTATTTTGTTCTTTTTTAACACGCCCGTGCGATTTGTGACGTACAGTAGGAGCACAGAAAATGGAGGGGGTTTAATACAAAGGATTAAGTGATTTGCATGAGGACTGATAACTTGAAATACAGTTAGGAGAGGAGACATGGAATACATCCACTTTCCACCCATCAGCTTCAATTTGTAGAGCGACCTGAATCAATACAGCCATCCCTCTCAAGGATGCCATGAATCTTTCATTCCCCTATAGCAGTGGGAGCGTGTGGATTGTGTCCCTCCATACCAGTTTAATGCATTTACCCTGTAAGCTGCTCATTCCCAGTCACTGCACTGTCAGCCCTGACATCTTTATTCATGAGCACGCACGCTCACTGTAAATTCCTCTGAGGAGTATTAAGAGTTGTGTCTTGAAGCCGCGATGCACACCGGGGAGGATTGTGAAGAGACAGAGAGCAACGATTATGTCGGAAGGTTTCTGTGGCTCTCATCCGCCACGCTTTAAACATAACAGGCACATGATGTTTCGCTGGGGCTACAGCACATGCGTGTAAGATGGGGTACTAAACGAAGTTGCTTTAAAAAATCCTACTTGTCAAAAAACCAAGCTGTTCATGCTCACACAAGCATACCCTAGAGTGTTTGGTGTAATTGTCTTGCAGGTTTCTGAAACAATCTATTTTAGCAGTGGAGCAGCTGGCTCTTGGTTTCCTCCTGATTAGCAAAAAACAATAACAAAAAAATTTTTTAAAAAATGTACAGGCTGACGGCTGCTGGTGGTAGATTAAACATGTATCCATGGCCTAGAATCTAATCAAACTCACAATTAAAAATTAAAGCCCTGGCTCTTTATGATTAAATAAAATATCATGTCTCTTATTTTCCAGCTTAGGCTCTTCGTGTACTGCTGTTTGTACATGCCTTAAGTCATCACAGAGTAAAGGATATGAGTAAATGATATCACACATGCACACACACACAAAGAAGTGTTGGCCTCTGCTGGTGCAAACACTGGCATGGAATAAAACTTGCTGTGCTGCTCTATAAGAGGAGCACTTTCGGATTGACTCTGCAGCTATGTCATGCTGACCATAAAGAGCTCATGTGAGAGCATGGCAGGAGGTGGTCAATCCCGGGATTTATGCCACTGAGCGGTAACATCGTATTAATTCTCTGACTCAGGATTGCTGTCTCTGCAGTGCACCATTCATACACACTGGGACTAGGGTTGGCTAAAAATGAATGACAAACAGCAGTCTAGCATTAAAGGGAGGACATGTTTTATGCAAAGCTGGCAGTGCTGCAGCCTATCACATGTACAGCACTTTTACAGATTAGTGGATAGATGTGCTGTCTACTGATGCTGCTGTGTGCACCTTCGCTGCACACCAAAGCGTGGCTAAATGCATCATGGATCTTGAAACACACAGGGAGTGTATTTAATTTGACAAGTGGTAAAGTAAGTAAACCTCACAAACATCAAAGGAAGCAGCTGAGCTCCGTGTCTCACTCACACCCTTATTGTGACAGCCTAACTCTTTTTGTTTCATCCAGGCACATGATGCTGTGAATCACAGCAGGTACCAAAAAGATATTTCCACAATTCTTATGGAGCTTTTGCCTGTTGTATCTGACACACTGGCTGTTACACTTGATCTGTACAGCATGCAAACACTAATAACACTCAAAAAATACAAATTTCACACCACAACAATTTTCTTCTTCTAGATATATATTATGCAGCATGCTGTTTTTGTTTGCATAATATTTTTGTTTTGCTTTAAAATGACTCTCTTGTGAAATATCTATTCATAACCCTCCTGATGAGGATCAAAGTTATATGTATTTGTTTACTTTCACAAACTGGCACAAATTTACACAAAGCAGTTATTTCAAAGTCGACTGCCCTTACTGTTTTCCCCTCTGAGGTGTAATGTCTCATTCTGAAACACATACACACCTTTGTAACTGACTCTGGCTGGTTGGTATAACAGATTGACAGGAGTGGTCACAGTGAGGAGCTGCAGTGGGTGCTTTCTCGGGAGTAACACGTCACAAAAGACACCTCTCGGCTTACGGGCATGCTGTGACAGCCACACAGTCGTGCCAGGTTACTGACTCACCATCCTTGCGGTAGTAGGTGATCTCCACCTTGCGCTCCTCGGACCCAATCACAGCCTGGGCCACCTGGTTGATGGCCTCTTTGTCTGTCAGGTCGCCGTGGAGGAAGTCGCAGGTGCATGGCTTCTGCATGATGTCCGGTCTGGAGAAGCCTGTCATCTCACAGAAGCCGTCGTTGCAGTAAATGATTGCACAGTTCTCCACCCTGGCGTTGGCTATCACAAATTTGCGGTCTGCGTGGAAAGAAAAAGTATGTGTACTGCCTGTTCTGGTACATCTGACCTCAGAGCCTGAACCAGTCAGATTACAAATCAAACCAATCAGCAATGAAGTAAGTTCACTGACACCATATTGACAAACAAGCAGCTTGTTTATGATTTCGTGCAGCAAACCTCATATGTTTGTCTTTGGATGAAAGAAAGTTTTCCCATTATTTGTTTGTTTTATTCCCATAAAAAAGAAAGCAACATTTTTCTGCACCACAAGATAAAGTTAAATTTATCATTTTCTCCTTTTTAATTTGTCAAAACTCTCACTTTGTATTCTCTCATCAAGTAGCAGGAATTATAAATAAAAACATACTTACTCTGACCCTCGAATTTCCGGATAATCATTCCAAGGAAGGTGTTTTGTGGCGCAACGTGACCTCTTCTTACAGGCATGTTTATGCACAAGATATCCCCAAATCTCCTGAAAAAAAGCGCCTTTACAAGTAAATCCCGAAGTTACAGATGTTACCTCTTTGTGATGCTCCCTTCACCACAGACCATACTCGACGCGAGCGCTCTCTCCACTCAAAATAACCTTCCCACTTTGGCCGAGGAGTTCTCTACCCAGTTTGTGTGCCTGAGCATGTAAATGCCTCCTCGCCGAGACGCACGGAATCGGGGAGGATTGCTCGAGTTAGATTCAGTTCGCAAAGCATTTCGCGTTGAGGATGGATGCGATCCTGACGTCCTCTGTAGCGGTGTGTTGTGTGCATACAACGGACAGTGGTTGATATGCCGAGGGGAGTGACGTTGCTCCCATGGGACTTAGTTCCCTCCACCTCGGGCAAAAGGATAAGTCTCAGCCTCGTGCACCGAGACTGAGCACTATCAAAATATACAGTATGGACTTATTAGGAATTGTATGCCTTAAAATATGCTGCTTTGTCCGAAAAGAACATGTATATTTCCACATACTGGCAGTACACCTGCAGTGCAGAGTGATAAAGTACTATATACTTAAAATGTAGCAGTGCTTCTTATGTGGTTATATACTTTGAAACTATTTATTACCAATATATATTTATAAACTGTAACAAGGAAAAGTGTTAAATATAGTGTACAGACAGGGGCGCTGCCATAGGGGGGCCGGGGGAATCATAGCTGCCCTCATACAACAACCTGGTCTCACTCCTAAGGCGTCAAATACAGGCTTTTGGGCAATGAGTTCCAGCATCAGACACCAGCAAAAAAAGGCATCCTTTCACATTGACACAATATGTGACCAGTAGCCGTTATTGTGTAATGGTGCCCAACAGCATTGCTTGTCGTCTTCACTTATCTTGCCAGCAAGTTTTTCATCCTCCACAGTCGACTTCATGTTGAAAGCGTACGACTCCAGGCCGTTCTTAGCAGACACCTTGTCACGCTGGACATCGTCTTCAGCCTTGTACTTCTCAGCTTCCTGGACCATGCGTTCAATGTCCTCCTTGCTGAGACGACCCTTGTCATTGGTGATGGTGATCTTGTTCTCCTTGCCAGTGCAACAATGTAACTAAAGGGGGTGAAAGTTTGTCCATCAACCACCGACTTTCACCCGGGAAGCTGGTGTTCACTTCTCCTAAGATTGTAAGAAAACCCTGGTCTTTTTTCCTAAACCCAACCATGTTGGCTAAATGTATGAATGGATGAGAATGCTGGACAGATTGCCACACTATTACAGGGCTAACAAATATAGACAGACAACCATTCACGCTCACATTTGCACCTATGGGTCACCAATTTACCTAACCTGCATGTCTTTGGACTGTGGGAGGAAGCCGGAGTACCCAGAGAAAACCCACGCTGACACGGGGAGAACATGCAAACTTCGCACAGAAGGGCTCCCCAGCTTTGGGTTTGAACCAGGAACCCTCTTGCTGTGACGCGACAATGCTAACCACTATGCCGCCCGCCATGTAAATGGAGGTGTATTTTGAAAACTGACACATGTATGACACAACGTCCCAGGACATCAACCAATGCACCCAGGGTACCTTGCATATCATATGTCGACATGGAAAGTCCATGACCAAACATTGATATGTGATGAGGCCGGGGTGAGAATGTGCTGCCTCTCCCGCAAAAATAATATATATATGCGATTCCTTAACTCTCTATATTGACATTATTTTATATCACTAGCCTATATACTTCAACAGCAGAACAGAATTTCTGAAATCCAGTCATGATATTTGGTTTTAGTGTGCTACCCCGAGATTTTCTGTGGCCCCATCTGGCCACCCCAATGAAATACCATGTGTCTACTGTATGTGTCTAAGTACATTGGAAAACATGGATATTCTTAAGCTTTTGAGTAAACAATGAATTCATATAATTTATTGAATGAATAATGAAACATTTTGAGAGATGCTATACTATTCTTCCCATGCTCGCTAATTAACATATCTCATTACAAAAACCACGAGTGTGAAATTTATGGATTTACCCAGAGTTATGTGCAGGACTATTTCTCAGACAGGAGTTGTGACGCCCAGTCAGGCTGCTGGTAGGTGGATTCTTTTACTCATAGACTGAGTCAGACGAGCTGTCCCCCCTCCCCCCCAGGGACTCCCTAAAACCATTATTTTCAACATTGTTTTTGCACACAACAAAGTGTTATGTGCAGCCTGGTCTCATTCCCAGAGTGTCAAAATACGCAGCTTGGGCAATGTGCTCAATGTCACTATACTGACGGTGAGGACACTGTTTTGTGAGATGCAGCAGGTTTTCCACCAACTCCATTGTAAACTCATCTATGTCATTATTAGATGCTCAGAGCAATGGACATAGTTTAAAAATGCATGGAAGTCCACTTGGGGTGTGCAAGAGGTGAGGTGAGGTGGATTGGTGCAGCAAGCACAAGACTTCGACCCAGGACAGTGGTGTTTGAGACCAACAAACAAAAACATTGGTTACGGTGATTCCCACTGCATTTCCAGCTGCATTTGTGCCAAAACCTAAGACCTAAACAGTTTTTTATTCACCTAATCTTTGCCTTAACCCCAAGATTTAAGCTATAGGAGCTCTCATGCCTATTTTTTTCACCTGACTGGTAATACATTTTCAAATTGACTATTATGACAATGTGAAATATGAAGCCAACAACTAAATAGTTCTAAAAATATATTGACATGTAGATGGACTAAATTATATCCAATATTCCTATCAATTGAAGACCACGTACAAACGATAGGATAACATGAATTGTAATATTCTATATGGCTTCATACTTGACATGCATCAAATAAACTGATCTTACATTGCATGCTGTATTATTCAGTTTATTTTGCCTAATATTCCAAGCTTTAGATATAAGACTAGTTGGTACTTTGCCAGACACACAGTCCAACTTCTCATTTTCACCATACCAACGTAAAAATCAGTGCATGCAGGTTATCATATAAAGTATGAATATGCATGCACGTTTTCCCGTTTCCAGTTCTGTATGCTAAGCTAAGCTAACTGTCTGTTGACAATAGCGCTCCATTAAATGGACAGTTATTAAAGTGGTACCAAGCTTCTAGTCTAAATCTCAGCAAGAGGCTTTCCTAAATTTAACCAGAGATCTAAATGATTAACAAGGCATTCCCCTCAGCTTTAAGTCACCTGTTCTAAATTATATATTATTACTTTAATTATGTAGATATCTAAGAATGTGCTAAAGTTTGGATGTTTACTAAAACATCTGTTACCAAAAGCAGTGATTTAATTGTAGTGGTGGCTCTGAGCATTGTCAAGAGAATTTCTATGAAGACTACACTAGTGTACCCAAAAATAGCTTCAGGGCCCTAAACATACATCTATAGTTGCCTACAGCCATGCAGTGTTTCCATTTATTTTACCTGACACAACCTTTTCTCAGGACTTTGTAGACGTGTACAGACTGCACTTGACTGACATCCTCCCTGACTCTCCTGTTAGTTTTGTCACACCTGTAAGGGTGGCACACATATTGCAAAATTCACGCTTTAACAATTCTCAGCACACATACTTTGATGACATCACATTAATCCAACTATAACCCAAACGGAGGTCGGTTCAGCCTTAAAAACACACCAGTGCAGGCGTTTGACTGCCAAGAGCTCTGCAAAGTTGCTGTCCATGGTGCTGAAGAGGATGATGAATTCAGGTGCTAACAGGAATCCTGATTAGATTTATATTTGGCACGTGTTGGCTGAAATCTTTCAGCACCAATCATCTTTTTCTAGAAAGGGTGCACAAAAGACAACAGGCGCTGAGAATCAAGTGACACTCCTCAGGGTTCAGTTCATCATGCATCTGCTGTGCGGCTGATGTGTTCACTGTCGCTGGTTCACAAGATTACGGTTGAGCTGAGACAAGAAGTGTTCATTCAGGAGAGCTGCTTAAAGTTTTACTACGCAGGATTGTTGGCTACTGTTTGTCAGGATGATTGCCAGCAAACGTGAAAGTAAAAGCCAATCCTAGGGACAATCTTGTTTGCCGTTTCTCTTGGATACCTGCTGCTCATGCTCTGGCACCTAGTCGCTAGTTTTTTATAACCTTTTTTATAACTTTTTTTTTATAGGGGTACAAGCCCATAAATGTCCCAAGCACAGAAAATATGAAGACAATAAGAAAATACAGAGTCCCTAGTGAAAAATACACTGCCACACACCTCTGGTGGATCATAAGTAATGATTGAGAGGGATTACTCCTATATGAGTCTCTACAAATCCTGTATTGTATACCTTTAAACAAACAAGTAAAACTAGCTGAAACTCACCATAAAGCTGCATCAAGTTGAGGGGACATTTTTAACACAATTTTCACATTATCATTTGATGCAATGTTAATATAAAAATATCAATTTTAGCCCTGTAAGTGTGAAATAACTGGTGTGTTCAGTTGTCGTGACTGTTGGCAATCTACGGACCTTTTTCTCATTATGGCTGCTTTAAATTTATGTCTCAGTTTAGGTGGGAAAACAAACTACACAGAAAAATGATACAACCCAGGTGTACGCTGCTGCTGCTGCTGCTGCTGCTGTGTGCTGGCGGCCCTCTAAAAAAACAGCCCTTTTCTTTTTGATCCTTTCTAATGTTTTGTCTTGCATGAGTCTATTGTGACACAGGTTCAAATAGCTCAGGAAATAATACCTATATTAAAGTGGAAAAGCATTTTTGTTCAGGCTTGTTGTTGTCACCATAGCACTGCTGTTTTTTGCTGTGAATTACACTAACATGAAATCCAGCATTTAGTTGGGTTTCAGCTGTTGTTGGGTCCAGTATTCACCGGTGTTCAGTGTTGTTGTGGTTGTTGATGAGATGGGTATGCTACTGAGTAGATGGATAGGTTACCAAGGAGAGATTGGGAGTACTCTCTGATAAATTCTGATGGCTTTTTGGCTGATGGGTAAGTGTACTGTGAAAGGCCAGAAGAAGAGGTGTGTATACCTTGTATTCCTGCATATACCCTCCACCATGCCACTACTGGTGTTTTAGTACTGGATTGGTCCACTAAGTCCTGGCAAAAACATAGCTTTTATAGGATTGGATTGTTTGTTCAGGAGAGCACTTGTTTACTTTAGATTCCAATTGTGGATCTCAACAGAAGCATCAATTTAGTTTTCTCAACTTGTGTGCAGGAATCAATGCCCCACAGCTTGTTAAGGGGGCTTGATGAGAGTTGCAGGACTGAACCAGAAGGTCTGAAAATAATCAGCTGACCGATGCTGAAAGCTTCACA